TGTTGTGGCAAAATCCTCTATGCTTAAATAGAGAAGTGAAAATTGACCAACAGAAAATGATCCAAAACAAAAACACTGAAAAATTTCTAAGTGATCTATGGGAAAGATTAAAAGAGTCAGGCTTCATTGGTCTACAATCAGAAAAAAAATCCCCAAACCAGTGAGTGTCTATTTACATATCTCCCCCCATAAAGAAGGTCATGAGTTTGAAACATTCAGCACAATGTTTGGCACATAGTAGGTATTCAATAAATGTTAGTTGAATGAATATATGACTGTATATACTCACTATTTAAGGGAACACTGGAATCACCATGCTTTTTGTTTTTTAAAACCCTGAGTGGTATGGTAGATAGAACACAGCTTCCTATTTCACTCAGAGCAAAGCTTGAAGTCCCTACCTTGGCCTACAAAGCCCTACATGATCTGCAACCCACCTATTCCTTCATCTCACCTCCCACCACTCTCCCCCTTATTTACTCTGCTCCAGCAGCCTGACTTCCTTGTGTTCCTCAGACAAACCACACACATTCCTGCCCAGTGCCCTTGCACCAGCTCTTCCCTTTGCCTAATACACCCATTCCTTAAGTCTCCTCAAATGTCACTTCATCAGGGAGGCTTTCCTCACTACCTTATCCAAAACAGCATAACCCTTATCCTGCTGTTTGTCGTCATATCACTTATTGCCACCTAACATGTTACATAAGTGTTTTGTTGTCTCCCCAAACTGGAAAGTGACTCCCAGGAAGCAAGGACTTCATTCATTTTGTTCACTGCTGTTTCCTTTGTGCCTAGAAAGTACCTGGCACATCATAGGAGTTCAATAAATAGCTGTTGAGTGAATAAACCAACAAACATTAGCCTGGAATCCAGGAATGATGATCCCAGCACTTTCTCCTTACTTTGATGTGTTTCATACATACCTTTTCTTCCTCAAATATCATAACAATTAATGACATTTTATGTTTTTATGTTTCTCCACCTAGAATGTGAACACTCTGAGGATATTAATAGATTCTTAGCTATTATTTTATTCCCAGCACCTTGCATGGTCTATGGCAATTAGTAGGCATTCTATAAATGTTTAGTGAGTGAATGAATACAGAAAAGCCAAAGTAGAATAGAATCATTAAACTTATGGAAAACTGAGACCACCCCTCTTCCTTCACTGGTGAATGGTCGGCAGAAGGTAAAGCTTCGCTGCCAATGAGTTATCTGAAGGGATATAAAAAACTAAAATTTAATGGGAACCTACTAAAGGCCAACCATGCTTACACACGTTCACAGAGTTTATTTAATCTTAAGACAACCTTATGAATGAGGAGTATTACTATCATTTTACAGATAAGGAACTTGGGGTTCAGAGAGGATAGGGAGTTTGCCCCTGACAGAATGAATGGCTAATAGGATTCACACTCAGGGCTCTTCATGCCATGTATCACACTCATATCGCTGAATAATACATCAGAAAGGCATTTCTCTGATCCAATGTAAGTATTGGCATATGTAACAGTGAGCTTTCCTGAACTAGAAAAGAATTCTTACAATTAAAGGTTTTTTCCCCCTTGATTCAGAAAGGTAGCTCTGGATAAATTTAATATATATTATTCATGAAAAAATAAAAAGACTTACAAGCAGATTATACTTTGTACATTTTGAATTTTTAAACATAAAATTTATATTTTCTGATAATAAAATGGATTATCTCTTCATTATAGAAAACCTGAGAAATACAGATAGATATAGAGTAAAAGCTTTAGTCAACTATTATCCCATGACTCAGAGACAACCACTATTAACCTTTTAACAATAAGGTTAATAAAGTTTAGTATAACCTTCATTATGTTAACCTTTATTAACCTTTAACACCTTTTTCCAATATATATTTTATTTTTTAAAGTGAGATGACTTTAATTTATACAGTATTTTTTAACAATATATGTATTTTCCATACTGTTAGAAATCTTCATAAATGGCATTTTAATAATGGCTTAATGTCACATTAAATAGATGCAATAATTAATCTTTCTATTATTACTTAGGCTATATTATTTACTTTTATGTTTCTCTCAATGTAATCAGTTTGTAATTCAACTTCTGAGAATGATTCTGACCTTTGAGAATATGCAGAGACAACTTCTCCATTCAAGAAGGGGAAAAAACTCCCACTAGTATTCAAAGAGATGAAGCCTTTCCTTTTCCTCTAATAACCTTTCAATGTAGAGATCAGCTGGAGTCATTCAAGTTTCACCTTCAGTAAGGAAGGGAAGCAGTGAAAGTCTACAAGTAGGCTGGAGTAAACAGACCCAGGCTCACATCTTGGTTCTTACATTTACTTGCCTTAAACCCTCAGAAAATTGTATACTAGTAAATCCTCGGTTTCCTCATCTGTAACTGGACAATCACCTCATGGAGTTGCTGAGGTGTTTAAAATGAGGAAGCATATGTAAACACAGCACTGAAACTGGCACAGAGTAAATGGGCCTCTTTGTAATTGTAAAACGTTGGTGGGGGAGCCATCACGACATCATTCTTGCCTCCAGTAGATTAGAGAATATGCCAAGTTCTCACCTCTAGTCTCAGAAGTAAGAACTTCAGGCTACATTTGTAAACTCACATGCAACAGATCAGTTTGATTTCTGACAACACTTGGAAGTAGGAGAAATTGGGGGTCTCCCAGTTCTCCCAGGAGTTCCTCCCTACTGACATCTCCCTACCTCTAGCTATAGCTACCAAGCCGTTCCCCTTGCCCCCACAGTGGTTCAATGCCTTGACATCTTCTTTCTCTCTCTTATTGATTTTCTGACCTGAGCCCTTAGCAAACCCAGCTTTCCAACCTGCCTATTAGTCTAAGTTTCCAATAACACTTGTCTAATCTTTTTTTTTTTGTTAGAAAAACTAGCTTTATTTTTTCAAGTTTCATATTGTGCCAGTTTTGAAGAAGTTCAGATTTTCATGCCTTCATACATTATTTTAGGACGGCTTTGTCCAGAGATCTCAAGTTTATAATGATTTAAAAACCATTTCCTATGTGGGTTTATAGTTGTATAACCACTGAATGTATTACTATATTGCATTGTCTAATCTTCTAAATCCTGTTCAGTTCATTGATTTCTCGTTACCAATGTCACTGAACCCAAATTTTTAAAAAAAAATGTGATGGTTTCCAAGGCCTCCGCCACCACCAGGTATTCCCTCAGGTTTTCCTCCGCTCTATTTATTCTGGTCCTAGTGCTAGTGTCCACCTTTCCATCTGTAGTCAGAGCAGGCTAAGTTTACTGCAGGTAAAGCATGTCTTTATCTGAAGAGTTCGACCTTTGTCAAAGGGCAATGCAACCCCAAAGGTGCTTTAAATCACTATCAGCTGCTCACATTTTAGGGAAAATGAGGTTTCAGATTCTCAGTGGTGGGGGGAGTAAATTATGGGTGGACAAGGACGTAAGGATCACAGACACCATTACGGGAAAAAGGTTATGAAGTCTGGGATTGACAGATCTCCCTCTCAATATTCCCTATTCCTTGTTCCATTTCCTACAGGTGCTTTCTCTTCTGCTTTTCCATTCTGCACTTCATGCCATTCTGTAAGGCGCCCAGGACAGGTCCACTTGTCGGGGCAGTCACAGGTCTATACACTCTCTCCTGACCTTCCACAGGCCCTGGTCTGTCCTCCCCGCCCTCTCACTTATTTAGTACATAGTGTCCCACTTTCCCTAGTGCTCTCTAACTTTTCCCATAAAGTCCTGGAGGACAGGGGCTGTGCCTGCTTCCCACTTGGCAGCTGACTGGTAAATATGTGACCCATATTCCAAACTTATCTGACAGACCATTCACCCTAATCAATGCCAGTTTAGGGCTACTTCAACTCCAGCTCTATTGGCTTCAGTTGGGCAATACTTTTAACTTTGGATAAGATGGGCATTCTGAAATGCTGCACATTATCTGTCACCTACAAAGTAGGCCTTTCTATTGATATTAATAGAAATAGGAAGAGACATCACTGACAAAAACAACACAAAACAAACAAACCCCATACCCAAAGAGAACAAGTAAAAGTAGAAATAAATCTAAATAGAGAGATGATTTCTACTTATCTCATTTTAGGGCCCCCATGAAGGGAGGGAAGAGGAAGATCTAAGTCAGCGGTTCTCATCCTGTGGGTCGGACCCCTTTGGGGATCCGACGACCCTTTCACAGGGGTCGCCTAAGACCATCGAAAAACACATATATAATTACACATTGTTTTTGTGATTAATCACTATGCTTTAATTATGTTCAATTTGTAACAATGAAATTGGGGGTCACCACAACATGAGGAACTGTATTAAAGGGTCGCAGCATTAGGAAGGTTGAGAACCGCTGATCTAAGTGGAGGGAAAACCGTAGTTTTATACAGTATTATCTAATTGCATTCACATTCATTGAAACGTTGGTATTTGGTACCACGAAAACAAAAAAAAGCAGGATTTTAGAACGAGGGTTGCTGAAACTCATGCTTCTTTTCTCCAAAGAATTTATGGGCCTTTGTACCAAAATAAAGTTCCCTCGTGGCAACCTGGCCCGGTATTAGCCATCCAAGAGACCGCCACCCCCACCCTCCCCAAAGGTTGTTCCTGTGCCTTAGGCCACAAGTTCCATTGTTCCAGCACATTCTGCACTTAGTCAGGACCCGAAGTAAATTCCCAGGAATAAACAAGAGCTGCGAGTGACGAGGAGCTGGTTGGGAGGAGAGGGGGTAGTGAGGCGGGCGCAGAAGGGATGAACTTGGCAGCTGCAGGTGGGCCTGTCACTCCAGCTGGCAGGAGGCACCTTCACCTTTAAGTTCTTACCAAGGCGGCGCCCCCAGAGAGAAAGTACTTCTTTCTTAGCTCGAGGGGCATGAACTCAAGCAATTAAGAGGAGGAAAGGGCCGGGGCTGCGCCGCGAAGCACCTGCCCTCGGCGGCCGCATTTCCAGGCCGGGCCGCGCGCTGGCTGCGGCGCTGGGAGGGGCGCACACGCTACCTGGCGTCCGGCTCCTCCTCCGACTCCGTGGCCGTCTCGTCCTCCTCGCCCTCTGACTCCTCTTCGGTCTCCAGCTCGCGAGTCGCCTCCTCGTCCCCGTCGGAGCCGAGGAAGCTCTCGGTGGCGTGGTTGCTGTCGCTGCTCGCCATCGCGTTTTCCGGGCCGGAGCTGGAGCCCGAGCCGCCCGCGCCGCGCCTGGTGTTCTCCCTCTGACTGCGCCTCTGCCCCGCAGGGC